TTATATATTCGGACTTAAGTAAAAAAAATTCTACTCTTAGAAAAATAACTCCGTAATTTGGCTGCAGCACGAATGGGTCTGCTCAGCCTGGACAGAATCACGTTGTCTAAGATTACCAACGTCAAATAGCAGCTTAACGCTGCTCTGTTTCCTTCGGTGAGTGTTGAGAACTGAAGACCCTTTTTACTGGAAATGAGGAATTCCATCTTAGGTCTCTCGGGTGACAACGCATCTTATCGGGCCGACCTATATGTGTTACTATATATTGCAACTACTAGTAAAGCATTGTTAAAATGGCTTCATCATCTTATCATTATCTTATTTCTTTTAGCTTTGGAATTAGGCAATGCATGGCTGTAAAGTATAGTAAGACATCAGTATTATCTAACTGTCTCGTCTCGTATTAGTCTTAATAGCAATAATCAAAAGTTCAGATTAAATGAATTTTCATTAAATATAACTAGTTTATTTATGCACCATTATCTTAAAAATGTTTTGGTCTAATTTTTGAGGCTAAAGTTGACTTAAAATCACAAAAATCGGTATTGGTCTATCTCAAGAACGTTGAACGGATTTCTATCATGTTTAGCTCACCGCACTAATGTGATCCATTTAAAAGGAGATTTGGCACATCTTTTGATTAAGGCGTGAAGGTTGTAATCCTAATGATGGGTATGGACATTTTCTAAAAATGTGTTTTTTAAAGTGACATTGTATTTATTCGTTAATACCATATAGGCATCGAACATTGTCCGACTCCAGTTTTAATTGTCGGACTGAAACCTGAATTTGGTTTCTTCTCTTTTCACAACTCGTTAGCACCTTTTTATGGATTAAGAGTCACAAACGAGCACACAATCCACTTGATGATAAGCGAATGCTGTGGTCCTTAAAGAACGACATATATCCTCGATTAAGAATCAAAATTCAGGAATAAGATGAAAGATGAAATGCATCATTTCGAGTAAAAGTGTCTCCGGTTCTCTACACTCACCATACGAAAAGCAGCAGCATTAAGCTGATATTTTACGCTGGTGGTCTGTGAGATTGTAGCTCAACCCCAGTTGAGCCGACCCATTTGTGTTACAATCGTAATATAGCTGCAGCACTAAACCTCTTTTACCTTGAACTGTATATAGCAAGTGGCTATTATTTTGGCAAGAATAAATATGGTACAATTAATAGAATCCAGTTTGTGGAAGTGGAAGGAGCTGGTACTGGGGAGCCCCAGCCCAGAGATTTTTTTTTGTTTTTTTATAGAAGTGGGGGCAAACGAGCATGCGGCTCAACTGATGTTAAGTGACTACCGCCGCCCATGATCAACCGCAACACCAGGGGAATTGCAGGTGCGTTGCCGGCCCTTTAGAAAGGAGTACGCTCTTTTTATGAAGGTCCCCAGGTCGTATCGGTCCGGAAAAATCGCTGGTGGTAAACTATTCCACAGAGAGGTTGTACGCGGAATAAAACTCCTCTTGAAACGTACAGTGGTGGACCACCAAGCATCCAGATGGTGTGGATGGTATCGAGACGTTTGCCGCGTAGTGCGTTCACGAAATTTGGCGGCTGGGATTAATCCGAACAATTCCTCAGACCACTCTCCATGGTATATGCGAAAGAAAATGCAAAGAGATGCAACATCTCTTCGCAGTGCCAGTGAATCGAGCCGATCGGAAAGCACTCGGTCGTCGACGATTTGAGCCGCTCTGCGCTGGATGCGGTCAAGTGGAAGGAGCTGGTACTGGGGAGCCCCAGCCCAGAGATGGGAACAGTATTCCATGTGCGGCCGAACCTGCGTCTTGTAAAGTTGCAGGCGGTGTGCCGGCATGAAATACTGTCCCGCTCTGCAGAGCACGCCAAGCTTTTTAGAGGCCAATTTGGCCTTCTCTTCCAAGTGACCACGAAACTGCACGTCACTCGATATGTCGATGCCGAGGATTCCGATACTGGCTGAGGCAACAAGGGGAGTGCCTTGAAACTGAGGAGATACTACAAGGGGGTTCTTTTTAGCGGTTAACAAAGGTTTTTTTAAGGTTTCTTTCAAATGACAATTAAGGTGGAATTTTTCTGTATTTTCAAATAGTAAATATACTCAATATCTCCTGAACTTGTCGATTAACATATATCGCATGGCTTGCGATCTCTTGAAAGTTATTGAAATTAATTAATAACAAGATAAATTGAACATTTTTTTTTAAAAATTGAAATCTTTAATCAAATAAATAACCATACAGGTGGCAAACGTGAACGTTAGCACCCTCTCCGCGTGCCAAACCGTATATAATTATTACCCACAGACCACCCAACCTACTAGACTACTACTAGTAATCTCGGTGGTCTGTGTTATTACCATAAGCACCGCTACTCTGTCTGCACGCGACTTTACCCCGTAAATGATCGCTGAATTATTTTATTGAATGATTCGACCAAACTTAGTATAAGTCTTATCCTGCGAATAAAATCACTAATTACTCTAGAGTTAGAGAACTTTCCGTTTTACCAAATCTTAACCCAGGTAGGTATAACTGACTATCCTAGAATAAATCGCTATACTGCCAAAATTCATGAAGTAAACAAGTTATCCCAGAGTATTTTAATGGCGGCCGCTACATTTTAACAGCTGTTTTCGTATGCTTTGTTGTAAAAGTAGGAAATTTTATCGTTGTGCATTTATAATTTCTTGTACTTTTGTGATAATGGTAGGGTTTATTTTTTATATTAATGCAAGGTATACGAAATATGATCGAAGATTCTGACAGTGATGAAGAATACATTCCAAGGCGTCTACGATGGATAAGAGAAAGTAACAATTATTTCGATAACTATGATGACCGTGACTTTGTAATAAGGATTCGATTGTCCAAAGAAGCTACTTTGTGTCTTTTATCAAAAATTGAGCATCAACTGTAATATACATTAAACCGGTATGTACACATCTTTCATACACACACCTACCTAGATATATTTTTTTCTAAAAGCTATGTGTGTCGCTCAAAGATTTAAAACTAAAATATTAAAGTAAGTAGTAGCAGTAGTAGTAGTAAGTACCTATGTTATCTAAGGTTCGTTTTTCTTTCAGAAATGTTTCAATATCTCCAGTAAATCATTTGTTGGCCACTTTGAGATATTATGCAACAAACTGGACACAAACAAGCATTGGAGACTACTGTGGTCTAAGTACACCGACAGCAAAAAAATCGTACACAAAGTTGATGCTGCATTACATACAGAATATATAAAATTTCCTGAATCGCCTCTAGAAATCAGATATGAACAAGATAATTTTTACCAAATAGCTCTTTTTCCAAGAGTAGTTGGGGCCATGGACTGTACACACGTTCGCCTCACATTCGTACCCTTAAGACTGGTAGTAGGTGGAGAACAAGCAAAGACATTTAGAAACAGAAAATGATACTACTCTATTAATGTGCAAACTATATGTAATGCCAATTTAGAAATAACCGACGTAGTCGCAAGATGGCCATGTGCAACTCATGACAGCCCATCGAAAAGTACATTTTGAGACTGGTCGCTATGGTAATGCATTATTATTGGTGGACAGAGGATATGCTGCAAAGAGTTACACTATGACTCTGTTAGAAATTCCAAGGACACCAGCTAAACAACTGTACAATGTGTCACAAATTCGTACTAGAAATCCTATAGAAAGGTGCTATGGTGTATGGAAAAGAAGATTCCCAGTGTTGGCACTTGTTGGTTGGGATGTGAGTAAAATTAGATAAAGCACTAACTGTTATCATAGCCACAGCAGTACTTCACAATATGTTGCGCAGGCGAGGAGAACAACTTCCACCTGATGACCCACAAGTGCTATTGCCAGCTCCATGGGATGAACTTATACAACTTGGCCAAATGCAAAGCTTGGAATCAGCACAGCAATGTACTGGCCAGTTAGCATGCAATTCGTTAATAAGTAATTATTTTTATAGTTTATTGTAGTTTTGGAATTTAGCCATTTGACTGCAGTGATTCTTAATCTAATTTTATTAATCCAAATTTTAAAAAAGGTAAAGTAGTATAAAATAAAACGTTGAAATAAATAAATTTAATAAATTTTAATTGTTCCCTTTTTATTTGTAAATCCAGATCGTGAACTTCATTTGAATGAAGTAGTTCCTTCTCATCAACACTCTTGGAAATTAATTGCTTCCATTTTCTTATCATGCAATTTTTGCAATGATGATGAAAGGGCTACATAGTAGTGTAGGTCGCCTTCTTGAAACCCAAGATTTTTGTAATTTTCATTCTTGCTCATTATTAGCACATTAAAGAGGTTTTGCAAAAGGAGTTCTTAACTTTTCGGGAGTATATCATATATAATATGATATAGACTATATAATCCTAAAACAAAGATTTATATTAAAAATGTAAACAACATAATGCCCATATAACATTTCATCTCACAAAAAATATTTTTATGATAAAATTAAAAACAAGTCTACTACCATGTCTGAACACAAATTATAGGCAAGTCTGGCTTGCTTTATTTGACAGGGCAAATTGCAGCATGGCAAGAATAACAGACTTGGCTATACTCCGAACTATGTATTGTAACGGAGTCAAGATACTTATGTTTTTTTAATAGGATAAGCTGAAAAACAAGCACACAGTCCACCTGATGGTAAATGGTTGTTGCGGCCCATAGACATTTACATCTATCCTCGATTACAAATCAAAATGCAGATGCGTTGTCATCTGTGAGGATTAAGACGGAATGCCTTGTTTCCAGTGAAAAGGGTCTCCGGTTCTCTACACTCACCATACGAAAGACAGCAGCATTAAGCTACTATTTTATCCTGGTATTCTGTGAGAGCATGGTCCTACCCCGGTCGAGCCAATCCATTCGTGCTACAACTATACTACTAATATAACTGCACCATGGCTCTACCACATATAAATGTTTAGCAAAACATAGCATATATTTACTGTATACTATGGGTTGCTTCAGGTGTATAATGGTATAGGGCTACAGAAATGTGTTACTAATTTACCTGCATTAATCCTTCATTCGAGTCGATCCCAGTCTTTTGAATTTCATCAATGTCAGTCTCAAGATCTGTAACCAAATTTTAAAGGTATAGCAATTTTGTATGGTTTCTCTAGGGTCCTTAACTAAGCTGTAAGATACTAACCTTTATTACATAATTCTGGCTCCTCTGGCAAAATAACTTGAGCCTCAGCAAAATTATGCCTTTCTAAGCTATCTGGGACAACACTGTCACTGTCAAAATCGTTGAAAAGCCCAACAGCACTTGTTTTAATTAACAATAAGATTTTGGAATGTAGAGGATCTTCTTTCTTTGGATTTGCTGGTCCTCCACCTAAAATAGTACAAAATGATTAAAGTAAAAGTATTCAAAGTATACCATTTCTCACATTTTCAAAATATTTCAACTATAAATAATAATCCCATTATGTAGGAGACGAAGGAAATAAATCACTTGATCAGACCGCAGCATTGTACTATAAAGTGCTTAGTAATAATGGTACATTGAACACTACAGATCTATGGGACATGCATGTTCCCAGAAGTAGCTAACACTATATAAATGTATGTAGGCATATCTCAGTCCACTGCTCCTCCAGTTATAAGCTCATAGTTACCCCTGTCCATATTTCTAATATATACCCAAGATTTATAGGTTTTGCCTAAATAACTGGATCAACACAAACATTGATAAGGTAAGGCCGGATAAAAACTAACCTGTTTGGATTCTATGCATCCTCCTGTATAATTCTTCCTTTTTTGGCCTTTCTTTTTTCATATACACCCTCTCACTCATTTTTTAAATTTTCTGCTGTACGCGAGCAGTGTGTCGTTTGGCTATTGTATTCCTGAGATATAATTTGCCATTCGGCTAATTTTTGCTTCATCGTAACACCGTCTGTTTTTTTTATTTTCAATGACACGAAAATGTTTTTCTACGGGTCCTAACAACAAAGTCTTTTCCGAAGGTAATCAATTTGGGCTACGTTTTCTTTTTTCTCCACACATGTTATTGGAAAATATAAGAAATAAGGGAAAGGAAAAGGCTATAAGAATAAAAAAGTACTCTGTGTATAAGAATAATCAACTGACAACTCGCGTGTTATGTTGGTTCGGTGACAGTGACAGTTGACACTATTATAATCCGGCAAACTTTAAATAGAGATAAAGTCTTGCATTGCCCTACAAAAACAAATGTATTTCGATTTTAGTGGGCTTACATGTTCATTCATTTTTCGTTCCCCAACTCTAGAGTAACGGTACCCAGTATTGGCTACTCTCCGTTTGTGTTGGAAAAACGCAAACTAAATTATCCGAGAGTAAGACCAAGGAGTAAATTTATTCGAGGGTTAGTTACTATGGAGTAACATTGAATTTGGTCGAATCCGCCCTAAGCTGTACACGCAAAATAATTACTAGACTTTTGCAGATATTAAATATTTTGTTAAAAGGGTGAATATAAAATAAATATATAATTTCAAATCACTCAGACTCAGAACATAAAATGGCCAATTTTCAGGTTATCAAAATGTATGTAGGAGCCATCGATACGCTTCTCTGGCAGGGAAGAGTTTTGAACCTATATAAAATACGAAATAATCAATACTCCAGTGAATCTTAATAGTAATAACGAAATTTCGATCACGGTGACCAATCTCATAAGGGACTACCCACCTGCGTAAGACTAGATTTTAGTACCCGCGCCTATGCACAATCGTAGGTGCAATATCGATTCCCTCACTCTCATAGTCCAAAGGGGTGACAAACTACGATCGCAGCGAGATCAAGCACAGGTACAACGGCGTTGCATGCTCTACGAGGCACGGGGAAAAAACTCCGCCAACTTCCTGACACTGAGCTGCTACTGAGAATCACTTGACAGGAAAACTCAATAACTGATTTTTGTTGGCTGGACCCGGGATTCGAATCCGAGACCTTATAATCAGCAACCACGTATACCACTACTAGACCAACGAGACATTCAATTATTTTAACTTTATTTACGAGATAAAACTTTATTTATAAAGGGGGGCCGATTCGTCAATACTCGTTTTTTTTTTATTTAGGATAAAATACAACATAGGAAAATTAAAGTTGTACGAATAAAATTATTCATTTATTTCACTTTTATATTCATTCAGGTAAAAACCCTTTTTACTGGATACGATGTTTTCTATCCTCAAGAGTGACAACCCATCTGCATTTTGATCATAGAGTACATACATTTTGATTGCTTATGGAGGATAGATCTAGATGTTTAAGGACCACAGCAACTGTTTATCGTAAGGCGGACTATTAAAAAATCAGCCCTTAGTCCAAAAAGTAAAATATTGTTGTCTATAAATATCATATTTGCAAAGCTAAATAAAGAGATGAACTTTTGCTATTTTCAATGAAAAGAAATTTTCTATTGTAATGAAGTTATGAATAATTGATAGAATCAGGCGTTACTTTGCGGAAAGCCATTATAATAAAAAATGAAAATAGTAATTTCTTCGCAACCTTCCGACAAACAAATACAATGATGTGTCTTACCTGGATTGAAGAGCACCTCCCGCCCTCCCTCAATTGCATGCACTAACTCCGTCACCACTAATCCCAGCACCACTACTCCCAACACCACTATTCCAGGCAAGACACACCATCGACGATAATACGACACGTGTTTCGCCTCTACACGAGGCATCTTCAGGTAATGTAGACTCTACGGCGGCTGACCGCTAAGCGGTATTATCGTCGATGGTGTGTCTTGCCTGGAATAGTGGTGTTGGGAGTAATGGTGTTGGGATTAGTGGTGACGGAGTTAGTGCATGCAATTGAGGGAGGGCGGGAGGTGCTCTTCAATCCAGGTAAGACACATCGTTGTATTTGTTTGGCGGAAGGTTACGAAGAAATTTGAAGTTATGAATATCAAATTTATTTTAACAAGAATTGTGTCTTTAAGAAATCAGACTAAATAAAATATTATCTCAAAAAAATGTTTACAAAGCTACGTTTTCCATTCAAATTTCGTGTAAATAACTATTCTGACAATTTTATTAATTACATAATAAAAAGTTTGGAAGTAGTAATAAACATAAAAAAGCGGTAAAAGAATGCCTTTGATAATTCTCATAGCCTTATGGTGTTTTATTCTGGGAACACGTAAATACGAATGATTAGTTGAGAAAACTATTCATCTAAAAATACTTGATATTAATATTAAACTTATGCATGTAAAGGAGCATACCAAAAAAGTGACCTTTGCAATAAATTTTTTTCTTAATAAAATAAATAAGTAAGCATCTTTTTAAGTATGTTGGTTACTATTGTTACGAGCTTAGGTTTCGTGACAATAAAAACTGCCGATTGAATTACTTATTGCCAAATTCAGCATTATCAACGAAACATCCAGAATATTCAAGTAAATACGCGCGCCAATCGACTAGGCGCCGAAAGTTCGAGTGTCGGGCTTCTAGAAGCTTAGTTCTCCGTTACGATACTAGATGGCGCTGTCGGTTGAAAGATTAGTGAGGTCATTTTCTGGAAAGCTCCCCTCACTCTCGTCCCCGACACTAGATAGCGTTAGTGCCGGGTACATGACGTCAACTTAGGCGCGCAACACTATATAAGATACAAATAAGCCTTAAAAATATTTTTATCAGTTTTACCATGATTTCAGACAAGCAAGAGAGAAAACTAGAACCTCTCTGGTATACGGAACCCTATTAAAAAGCTAATCCAAAGGTTTTTATCCAACTATCGTTATTTTATTTCTTCTAACATTACCTAAAACTACTGTTATTTTTTTAAGTAAATTATTCCAAACAAAAGTCAATGCGGGTGCAATTTTTATAGTCTCAAACTTCAAACCAAATTTGACAATACGAAACACCTATGAAAACACCTCGCTGCCTGTTTGTCTGTCTGTCACAGTGGTATTTAGGTATTCGCTTGCGTTTAGTTATTCGCTGAGAGTATTTCAGCAGATGAATAAAACTGGGCATAGTTATAAATTTTGATTATACAAATGCAGTCGTGATTGAAATTTTCAATTTTCAATTTGAGAGAATGAATGGGCGGTAAAAATTGACTTTGGGGGGGGGGTATTTAGTATCAATTAAAAACTAACTGTAAAACTTAAAATAGTTTGGATGAGCCGAATGAGTTTAAAGCTCATTAAAATAGATAAAGCTTCTGGCTAACCAAGAAAAATAAAAAAATACGTTGAGGAGGAATAAGAAAGAGTTGGAGAGAACATGTCTATGCTCTCAATAGGGATTGACAGCACATTAACAAAGACAGAAAATTTGAGGAATATGGGAAAGCCTTTAGCCTTTTGTTATAAAAATAGATATGCTTCTCAAACAAACAAGTATACACAAAACCTTGAGAAACAATACCAAAACGTTTCTATATTTCAAATGTAATATTCGATGAAACGTGAGTGTAAACGGAGCAATTTCAATTAAACTTTGTTAGAAATGTGAGAAACTTAGCGCTACGTTAGCTACATAGGATACACGCAACAACTGTTCAGGATTGTTTTGCCGCAATGATGGTTACAGCGTATTGATTAGCATAAGCCACTTAACGCGGTTATTTATAGAATTTACTTATTCCATCGATATATATATAGTGCATAGTATATGTAACTCAATAACTTATTCATACTTGTGTATTATCACTCAAAAATGTGATGTATTTAAAGAATAGAAGATTGTTGGGAGTTTAATATAACTTGAACGAAAGGTAATTTTATATACAGAAGATACAGCGTTATTTTACAAAGATTTATGTTTTTAGTATTGAATTTATTTCATTTGAAAATGATAATATTACATGGGTGTGTAATGTATACGCAACCAAAAGCATCAGTAGATCCTTTTTACTTTTTTTTCTTTATTCTTTTTGTACGTATTTTCTTTAGCGTGCAATTTCTTCTTGGCCAGTTATAAGCGCCAACATTTAGAAAAAGGGAGAACGACCAAAACTGATGATATATGATTTGAAGACATGTATATATATATGTATATGTATAGATATATATATATATATATATATAACAAAGCACTCCTCTCCTTGGACATCCACAAGTCGAGTGGGCCTAACGGAATCCTCCCAATTGTGCTTAGGACGTATGCTCCAGAGTTGGCACCGGTTTGAACGCGTCTTTTTCGGTACTCCTACTCCCTAGGCGTAGTCCCGAAATCATGGAAGACAGCTTTCGTCTGCCTGATCCCTAAAAAAGGCGACTGCTCAGACCCGTCCAACTTCAGGCCTATCGCCATCACCTCCTTGTTCTCCAAAACAATGGAGTTCTTTGTAAACCGCCAGCTCATGAGGTATATTCCGGATCACCAGCTGATTAGTGGTCGCCAATACGGTTTATGCCGTGGTCGATCAGTTGGTGATCCTCTGATCTGCCTAACTCACAGATGGGCGGAGGCAGTAGAGTCCAATTTGGACATTGTGAAGGCTTTCGATCTGTTTTGGCACAAAGCGATTCTTTCAAAGCTCCCTTCCTATGGGCTTCCCGAGAAATTGTGCAATTGGATCACCAGCTTTCTTGTAGTTCGGGGCATCAAAGTCGTTGTAGACGGTGCAAGCTCCGATTGCAAGCCTATTATTGCTGGTGTTCCACAAGGCTGCGTGCTATCGCCAACGCTGTTTCTTCTGCATATCAATGATATGTTGCAAACCCGTAACATTCATTGCTATGCAGATGACAGCACTGGTGATGCTCTTTACACCGGCCGAGCCAATATTTCTCGGGAAAACGTCTCCGAGTGCCGGGACAAACTTGTGTCTGAAGTC